ATATATATAATTAACATAAATTACCATAGAAGACGAAATTTCAAGTTGATGAAACTATTGAAATGGAAGAGTAAATTCGAAAATTTCAACAAAAAAAAATTCTATTCATCCTTAATTATTTGCAAATGGCTGAGAAGAAGGTAATTGTACAGGTTTTAAAGACTCTCCATCTATCGGACAGTAAACGAAGCTGTGGCGTTTCGGGCTGCATTTCTTCGAAGAGTCAAAAATTAAAACTTTAAGGTGACTAAATCAATGTGATCAATATCTTTTTCCATGTTATTTTTTTTTAAATTTTTTTAAATCAATAAATTTCAGATGAGGTCCAAAATTTCCTAAATTATTTTGTTCTTCGGTTGTTAATTAATAAATTTTGTGAGGTATCTTAAGGGACTGAAATCTTTGTGATTATTAAAAAAATTATGAAATAGAAGAATTTTTTGAAATCAATGCATACTACCGTGTTGCATTTATTTCTCTTAAATTTTCATATTTACTTGAGGTACCTCGCTGTCTTGGAAAGTCGAAATTCGATTAAATATTCAAAAGTAGCATTTTTCACTGATATTTTAAATCGTTCGATACAAGTGTTTGACAACGAAAGTCAAAAAGCTTTATCAAGTCACCTATAACTATTTTCATTTTTTGGTCGTTTCGGAATGTACTCCAGATCTATAATTGAAAAAAAAAAAATTTTCTCCAATTCTTGATATGTTACGAATTTTTTAAAAATTTCTGAATAACATCATAATTAAAAAAAAATGTGTATAATGTAAATTATCTTTATAATGTATCCTTTGCTACTCCATTTCAGAGAATGCAATAATTCTTTTTTTATAAAATATAGCTTAATTCGAAAGTTTAGTTCTTAAAAATAATTTTCAAATGAAATAAATGTAAGAGAAAGGGTGCCCTTTTGTCGGAAGTGACGAAAGTGAAATCAGAACATATAATATGCTTATGGAGGGAGAAGGAACAAAGTGAAGGATGAGGAGGAGTGGGTGTGCAGGCGCCCAATCGTCTGAAAACCATCTGTCCCTTTCAGACGATGCAATATCAAAAAGGTGATTTTACCTCTTCTTCCAGAGGTGTAAATAATAAAGTGACAATTTCTTAAAATTTTTTTTAGTTCTCAAATTTTTTAAGGCTACACAGTACCCTAAAATTCGCAAAAATATGCAAAAAAATATTTTTGCATTTTTGGGTGGCTAATGTGGTTGGGAAGCAAGTTGAAAAATTTTNAAAAAAGGGTACCGTGTAGCCTTAAGTAATCTGCATGTTATGTACTAAGTTAAATGAAAGAATTATTTTGTTAAAACTGAGTTTCTATATGAAATTAAAATATTTTTTTATTTACATTTCAACATCGAAAATTTCGAGATTCGATTCGATTATTATTTGAATCAGTTAATCAAAAACTAAAATACAAAGAATAACAAATAGTGTGAAATGTTGAGAAAATTAAGCTAATGTTATTTGTTATTTTTTCGATACATTAAGATTCAAGTTACCATTCGAGAAACAAATTTAAATAGTAGGAGAGGCGTAAATAAACTCTTGGGTAAAATGCGAATAACTCTTGATTCTGCGCTTTAATGGATCATCCTAGTTAATCTGCAGATTAGATAAGGTATTGTGGTGTAATAGCTACCGAGGAACATTTTGGAAATTTCTTCGTAAAATAACTGCTTCCAAATAGCAAAGTGAATTTTCTATTTGACGACCTTTTCTTTAAGATCCAATTCCCCCCCCCTTCTTTTTTTTTTAAATATTTCAGAACATTTCAAACTAGTTAATGCATTTTAAGGGGGGAATGACTTTGCATTGATTTTTCGCAGTCACTTAACTTTTAGAGAAAGCAATAAAATCCTTTTCTCTTTTTGTTTGCATTTAATACAGGAATCCATGCTAAAAATCAATTTACGGGAAAGTATAAGAGAGATTTCTAAGGCATGGAACTGTGATGTTACAGATCGTAACAGTTTTTCTAAAGCTGGAATTTTGAAAGTGCGAAGGATGATACTCCTTTAGAAGAAAATTTGGATACAGCTTAGAGAGAACCACGAACATGTACTGATGAATGATTTTCTTTTTATTCATTCCAAAGCTGCAACCCCACAAACATTAACTGAATCGAATATTCTGGGACAGTGTGAAAAATCAAAGCAACACAGAAATTGTGAGGAAGATGAAGACGGAAATGATGAAGAAATCACCAAACCTCCATATCATAAAATGTTCAAATCATTTGAAACAATTCGGTAGTAGATAATAATTTAAAACATAAATGTGTTGCTATTTTAATTATATCTAATGTTTATGAAATTAAAACATGCTTTGTGTTATTACTTCAAATATTAATTGAATTTCAAATTATGATTTTTTTATTTGACGAACTTTTCATCTAACGTACTTTTTATCCGGATTTGGCGACTTCGATAAATAGAGGTAGGAATAAATATATATATATATATATATACATACATGAATAAATAAAACTAGACAACTCTATTTTGTGCTTTATAGCTTTATAAAGAACAATATCGCAANGGGGGGGGGAATAATAAGTAAAAAAATAACAAACAACAGTTTATATTAAAAAAAAAGGATGAAATTTTATTTAAAAAACCGGAAAAAAAACGAAAAAAAAAACATATAATCTTTTCTTCAGCCCACACGATTACATCCGCAAAACAGAGTGCTTTCTGATATTGTATCAATAAAGCCAAAGCAAAATATATTAATACAATAGTGTGAGGAGCACTCAA